AAAAATCACATGTAAAAATAATTTACATGAGAATTTTCATACATGTGTATATATATATATACATGCACGTTTATTCCTGCACAACATCCTGGGAATGGCTCGTATCGGCCTTGTTTCATTCTTAGTTTAAAATATTTATATATTGTCACTTCTTAATGATACTTTTTACGTTTATTTTTCCCAAATAAAATAAAGTTTATTGAAAATATTTTCTATATAACAATTAAAATAATGTCAAGTCATCAAGATAATAAATAAAAATTATTTTATATGTAATTTGTAAAAATAAAAGAAAATGATTAATTGTTTGTTTATACTTATTAAAAATAACATTATTACTTGTAAAACACGAAAGTTTTGAAAAAACTTGATTTATTTCATAAAACTTTTATTAATGATATTAATTGAATATTTCTTCATAAACGTAATTTTTTACTTTATTAGACAAATTATCATTTTCTATGTAAATTTTTAATAAATTCCAAAAACGTACTTGTGACAATGCAACGTATAGTTGTCCGTGATTACCAACGTCTTTACGAAGATCTACTGCAATATTTCAAAAGTTTGTCCTTGTGATTTGTTAATAGTCATTGCAAATACAAGTTTTACTAGAAATTGTCTCCTTTGAAAGTAAACGGATAAACAGTTTTGCAACATAAAATGATTTGATTAAGAAAAACAATTTCTTCATTTTTAGTACATGTCAAAATGTCACATTTTAATAAATTATTATTTAATCTAAAACTAATACTCTAGTGACATTGCATAATCCTTCGCTAATACTAACAAGGGAAGTAACGCAAGTGTCCCTTTCCGATTTTGATGAGCTTTGAATATGTTGTAAAGTAGCTAAAAATAAGAAATCCGTATTTTTTTTATGTGCTTTCTTGCACGTTTGGGGAGTGATACACCCCTTAAAAAAAACCGGTTTCTTTTGTTTTATGCGAGTATCATCGAAACGGTAAGAGATATAAAAAAATATTTCAAATAACAGTTGCATAATATTTTATAGGCTTTACAACCGCGTAGTTGGATTTATTTTTCATTCAACATTTTTTTATTTACCCTTACCCGTCATTTTTTTTCAATTTTCAAAATTTTTGTAAAGAAAAATTGTAGCATTTTTTACGCTGAATTCAACTATATATGATTTTCTTATGTTTCAAAATTGCATCTTTCAGAAATAAACCATCAATATTGTATTATATGCGTCGCGCTGCATGACTCATCATTTATATCGCGCTTTAATCGTTATAGGCAAACCAAAAATTAAAGAATGAAAATAGTCACGTTGTCAAGTATTGGATAAAGTTTTAATCACAAAGCAAAGAGCAAAGTTTAAAAGCGTTGCTAAGACCTCCCTTCTAGTGATGTTTTACACTTTTAATTTCTTTATCAGAAATTAAGTTTATATAATATTATATACATATAAATTAGTACTATTATTTTTGAATATAACTTTAGCTTTAACGATTTTATAAGATGATATTCAAAACATACTAATTACATATACACTCACACGTAAGAAATAAAAAGGAAGATAATTTGAAAGATAAATAAATGGAAGTGTTACAATTTAATTTATAGTGCAATTTATGTTCATTTTTCAATATTAATTAATACATAAAATTTAAATTAATTACAGGTTCTAATCAATAGTAAAAACATTCCCTTTTGTGTTTATTGTGTTTTTAGGTTTTTTAATTGTGAAGTGGATAAAATGTGGGTGTGTGTGTAATAAAACAATTAAAACTTTAGTTTCAAGAACATACAACATAATGTATACCTATAACATATAATAATTAACCATTACATAATATAGTAACATAAACATATATTCAAAAGTTAACATGTATAGAAAAAACATATGTTAAAAATATTAAGTGAATTTATGGATATACATAAGTATCACAAAAGTGATGTTCATGAAAGAAATGAGATTTAGGCAAAGCAATTTTTTGCACCATGCGCAAGTAATTATTGCAGTTGAGCCACAAATATCACATGTCGATTTTAACTGATTTTTGAAACAATATTCTACTGGTGTTTCAAATTCTTCCGGATTATTTTCCACATACCCGCTTTTATACCATGCGTATCGAAATAAATTTCTAAATCTAGGCGATGAAAACTGACCATGAGCTACTGATTGTAATTTTAAAATATTGTTTCTTGCGTGAAGATTTATTTCTAGATCCAAAAGCATTACAATATCTGAAAAGTGTTTAATGAAATTTTTCCACAAACAAAAACCATATACATCTAATGGTTGTATGTTTCCTGTTGTTTCAGCCGGTATAGTTAATAGAATTATAGTTTTTGTAAATTCTAATTTAGTTTCTTGTATAATATTTGGACAATGACCAGTCCATGAATCTAATAGTAAAACGGACTTTGGTCTTACTTTTGGAAAAAACGTTTTGCAACCAAAGTTTAAAATGATCTGACGTTAATTTCCCGGATTTTGAAGCTCTAACACAAATATTAGGTGCCATGAACATTGTTTCTTGCACTCTAGGACCAAATATTCCACTAACTTCTTTCAATACAATAAAAAGAGGCGATAATAACATACCATCGGCTAAAACAGTAGGTTGTATAGTATAGCTATGCGTAATTGCCGTTTTAGATTATACTACAGACTCAATTTCTTTTGTTTCTTTATATGCTAATGTACGACCGGCATGCAATTCTAACTGGAAATGCCGCTTTGATCATTGTTGTAAATATTTTCTGCTCCATATTGAGTTATTTGATATTTAACGTTTTCACTAAAGAAATTACACTTTTCTTTATGCTCGACGTTTGCTAGTATAAATTTTTTTGTTACAAATTTTGTTATTTTACGAGATACAATATTATGTATTACTTTGAATTTTTGTATCCAACGCATCGACGCTTTTAATCCCGGTACATATCTTTTTAAAACTTCTTGGGCTCGAACAGTCCATCGAGTTAAATCAATGTCGTAAATAATTATTCCTTTTTTAAGAGCTATATTAAAATTATTTAATATATATTCTGAAATTTGTTTTAAGTTGTGGTATCTACTGCCATCTTAATGTACTTGAATTTCCCATCGTCGCAATTGACGTAATGAAGATACTTTCCGAAATCTTCGTTTACCTCTTTCCAATGTTCTTGGTCCAATTTTTTCACTTTTCCAATACACTGCTTGTTTTCTGTATTCATGCGGAATACGTTCATCTGTGGTACATACAAATTTAAGAGTTAGTATATATTTTTTATCTTCAAGCTCTACGTTTTGTAGCTCTACTTGTTCTGCTTCTGAAATATCATTATCATTGTCATAATCCAAAGATATTTCCTCCTCTATGTCACATTTTTCATCACGCATTTCTTGCAATATCACCTCTATTTTACGTGCCGTTTCTTGCTCTTCTGACGTTATTGGACTTGTAAGTAAATTCAAAGCAGTAAAAGTCACGTAAAGCAACATTATTACATTATATGGATTAAATTGAACTATTCTGAAAAATATAAATAAATACTAGATATTGTTTTAAACTTTATTTGTGTACAAAAGGAATAATACTTACTTTATAGTTTAATAAGTTTACTTGTGTTATTTTTTGTGTTCATTAATTTATGAATGATTACTATTATGTTGCAGCTTTGTAATTTGAAAGATACATATATTTGTATATTTATCAAGTCAAATATCTTGAATATAATCAAATCAATAGTCAGAATTCAGTCACTATTTTGTACTCGCTATTATCTTTTTACATATTATTTTTCCACTATATAATAAACTAAACTTCTAAGCGTAATATACAATAGCTACCTTGAATATGACGCGCTGCCAACGATGATTATTACTATAAGCCATTCTACAATGAGTCATAGCAACAGATAACAACTAGAGGAACAATGCTATTTTCAGTTGCACTTGAGCGTTGCGCAAGTGGCGACGAAACATTTACAATTCATTATAGTGTTACGTCTTGGGGACTCCACGGTCTCCTTTTCTTTGAGACGCAACGCGCCAACGCATACCAAACCCCTTTTTTTGTAAATAATAAAAGGCAATAAATAACTCGAACGGATCTCCTATCGTTTGGAAACTTAGACTCCAGACGATAGGAGAGCAAACGGAAATCATATCGGCGTCAGAAAAGATACACCGTGCCTGGTAATAATATAAAATTTTATGATAACAAACACGAAAAATTTATTATTTAAACACTTTGAGCAGCTTTCCAAACAAACCCAGATATCTCCGGGTCATGAAAACTACCGCTTATAAAATTTAGAGCGGCCAGCGCAAATAAAAACTCCGGCGCCACGAGCAAATTTATTATAAGCAAATAACGAAAGGTCTATGTGGCGTGATCAAAAAAACAACACTCTCCCTTTTCCGTTTCCCGAAAAATTGGACGAGCCGACCAAGGCGAGAAATCGTCGTCACTGATTGGCGATCACACAAAATGTTATAAGTCATGTATTAAGTTATGTATTAAGTTAATGTATTAAGTGTTGTGTAATA